AATAAGATTTCTTTCACTATATTGCTATTCAGAGAGAATTAAATATATAAATAATTGACTTAAATTGACATCACAAAATATGTTTAGAACAAAATTATAAAAGATTAAGTACTTGCGGGTTTATGTAGCATCTGCTACAAAAGTCTACGACACGTAGTACATTCATAGCAAACCACACGTAGATGCTACGAGCCACTATGATTAAATTTAACTAATTGTAATAACACTCGATATTTTATTATGGAAAATAACCTGATATTTTAAACTGTATCATGTTAAAACAGTGAAAACTATGTGTGTATTCTACAGATGAACATGAGCGTGGTCATTTCGCCTTACAAGTAAAGTAAACAATGACCTTTTGTGGTAATTACAATGACGTGTTTAAGTGATAAGCACCCATTTCTTAGCTTTGTTAGTGAAGCCAAATAATGCAAATATTGATCTATACTAATAAAAGTGAAATGTATTTTGTTTGTTCCTTTGTGTAAATGCGTAAAGTAAGTTTCTAGTAAGTATTTTAGTCTTCAATGGAGTATTATCTGAGAAGATGACAGACTTTTAAGAGCAAATAATGAATATAATCTACCACGTTTGGCTCTGCATCGCCCTAAGGTCGACTGGTAGAAAATGCCTACGGCATTAAGTTCGCCTTTGCCACATTTGTGCATCAAGTTTTAAATAAATAAATAAATAAATATAAACACATTTAAAACTGCGAGATTCGACTAATGGAGGAATAAGCCTTTATTTCTCGAACAGTCAAGGATGTATTAATAGACCAGTATAACTTGAAATGTCACCGTGTAGATTGTTTCGACAACAACAAAATATAGGTACAAGCATTCAACTATTTAAATTTATTGTATGTACACATATATTAATTATTGCAACAAATTGGTCTTAAAGTCCAGCTATGTCCCGCCGATTGGGAATATCCTATCGGCGGGATATAGCTGGACCAAATAATGAAAACATCTGTATAATGATCCTCCCTATGGTCCACAATAAAGATTACTATTACTATTAAATAAACTCTAGGTTCTTATGCTTAGCTACATCTAATTAGCGTTCTGAGAAATTGCTAACGATATTACACATACTTCCATTTGTTTTGAAGTTCTTTAAACCGACTGACTTTTTTGTTTATCAAATCAAAATTGAAGTAAAAGTTTTAAAACTAAATGTTCCTAAGAAGCGGACAGTTTTTAATATCATCTTTTTACTTATTATGTTCTAAATATAAAAAAAATGGGTCAAAAGTAAAAACTTTCGTAAGTATATACATAAATTGACCTGACACGTTACGATAAGTCTATATAATGACAGTTGAATTTAAACTGGTAATGAAAACTATAGCAATAAATAAAACAAACCATTAAAAATATTATAAATTAAAACCAAACATCAACCACCGGGCGATCTGTAATTTTTAAAGAAAAGATCGTTATTATTTGAAACAAAAATTCTTAGGTCGGCTACCTGAGTGTAGACAAAGGACAGCCAATGAAAGCGCTTGGGCGCCGTACCTTCTTCCACTTTCGATGGGCGTGCGCAGGTACAAAACCAAGTGCATATATAACTGGGGTGTAATACTTTTATTTCACTATTAGTTAACTTTCCAACCAGTGAAGTAGTGTAACTTGTGTAAGTTAGTGATACCCATAAAATATCGACTAAGCAAAATGGTAAAGACAAAAGCAAATAAGGTACTGAACTTTTTACTTGATTTTTGCTCGGTTATGATTTATTAATCAGAGTTTATCGATAACAATCATTTACTGTCCTGTTGAAGTATTTTATTAGCTAAGTTATACGTTGTAAAATATCTTTTGAGGTAATTTAATTTAAACACATGAATTTTGCAATTTAAGATAACGTTCTGTAGCGGTTTAAAGTTTTCAGTGACTATTTTTAATGTATTTTTCGTTTAGTTTGACATCTCTCATAGTATTATTAAGTTACTAAAAGCACGTGAAGATATAATGTAATAATCCGTTTTTTTTAATACTTATTCTCTGTCATTATTTCAGAAATCGGAGCAGCAAACCAGAACGGCTTCAGGACCTAGTGATAGACGTCGTGGTCGCCCTGTGGGCAAGAACCGGGTGCCGCTTACAATTGTTAGTATATATTGTGTAAAGTAACATTGATTCCGCAGAATGTGTTTATAACTTTTATCTAATTGAGTTTCCTGTTTGCAGGAGGAACGTCGAGCCCGCAACGCTCTCTACGAGCAGGAGCGACGTAACGACGTTGCGAATGCCTACAGCGAGTTAACTGCTACCCTCTCCGTTGACTCTAACGTGAGTTGATTAATTTTTTTTAAACTCAATAATGCTTTAACTACAGGAAAAAATTACAATTGACTATGTTTTCCTTTTTAATCTAGATCGCACACGCAGAGCTGTTGGAGAAAACTTTGAGTTTTATAAAGGAGAGGACATTAAAATCAGAAGAGGACAGAATAATCAAGAGGCAGAACGCGAAGTTAAAGTGGCAAAGTAAATATTGATTGTGTTTTGTTATTTTCTCCAATAACAGATACATAGATTTGGATGAAATAATTAATTAATTGTTATTTGTTAATTACAGTACAAAAACTAACGGAGGAGGTGGCTCCGTTTCAACACGAAGCAGGTGACCACGGCGAAATCTCAGAATAGCCAATAATAGCCATTACAGGAAACGCTGTATATAAAATATCTGAATATAAACAGTTATATTCAGATATTTTGTGTAACGTGTTTCAACACTCCCTCTACGCCAATAAAAGTCAAAATATTAATATAAGTTAAATATCAGTATTTAAATTATATTAATATCTTGACGTTTGTTCAAAGATCAGAGCAAACAAATTACATGTTGAGTTTGATCTAGTCTGAGCCAACTTAAAATCGAGGATGAAAGCTATTCGGGTAAGTCGAATAAAATAGTTCTTAGTTTATAACAAATATTAGGCTCGTTACCGTACCGTCGATCAGAGCAGAACGTCTCACTCTTGCAAAAAATAAAAAAACCATCGAAAGCAATAGGCAAAACTGTGCTATAACAACTAATGTACAATATAAATTAAAAATGGAAATGTTTAAACAATTTGAATAGTTACAATTTGTGTGTTACAGGTACGATCAATAACAGCTTGCCAACAGAAGCTCTGCTATGAACCGTCTTAAGTTTCACAATTGAGAAAGTTTCTAACATTAAGTAATCTTAGTTACAACAAGACTGATGACTGTTTAAAATTTTATTTTTAGTATTTAATTATGTATTTTATATTATTCTTGTAAAATTTGTTTCCTGCTGTGTATAATGTGTTCTTATTTTATTGTACTGATTTTATTCTAGTCATAGTTTTGAATGATAAGCAAATTATGTGCATTTCACTTAGTTCTAAGGTGTTTGTTGTTTTCAAATAAATACTTCAATAGCAGAAACTATCTTTTTTCAATCAACCTTTTCACTATCCTTGTGCAGATATAGTTCAAATAAAGAGATAGGTAATACATCACTTCTCTCAATACCTAATTTAATTTTTACTATAAATCCTATTTTCGACGTGTTCTGCCGTCCTTGGACAGGACCTAAGTCCTGTCCTAACCTTACTTATCCTGCTACTTTTAAAAAGCATTTCAGCAAGTGTTGTGGGTCCGATCCCCACATGGGACAACACTTCGTGTGATCCACAAATTGTTGTTATGAGTCTAGGTATTCTTTGTGTCCGTTTCATGTATGTTTGTAAATTCCCCCGCGACACAGGATATATTCCTAATGCGGTAGTCTTTTTAAAAAAACAAGAAATTAACATATTAAATAATTATGCTGACCACCAAAAAAAAATTTGCAGCCCTAAACAAAGATAGTCTAAAATTACAATTGTTCTAACTGTTATGACTGCACATTAAATTAATTTGTATAAAATTTAATAACAGGATTTTTGAAATTGTTTGTTTTATATTTTAACCATGTAGACAGTTGCTTTAACTACATTATGTCGCTACCTACTTCTTATGTACCCACCCCGACATGTACAGGTTACAGGTTTTAAGGTACAGGTTACTTCATGGATATTTCTTCTTTAACTACCCTAGGGTTGCCAACCGTCCTGTTTTCCCAGGACATGTCCTAGTATTTATAGTGTCCTGGGACGTCCTGAATAGGTTTTAAGAAGCGTCCAGCGTGCTCAAAATTTTACACTACGAGCGGCCTCACGGCTCGCAAGTAATTGCGTTGCCGCGCTGCCGTGCTGTTTCAAAACAAAGGTGCAACGTGCCACTTGATGATATCTCTTTCGATCTATTACGGTCGCGCAGTGCGTAGTATTCCGTCTCTTTCTTGCATTAGACATACAGACTATACAGAGCTAGCTATCCAGTCAGATTACTATTTAGTTGTAATTTGTTTGTATAAATGAACAGGCTACACTAACGTAAGGTATTTAAAAATATTCATGATTTTATTATAGTGTTTATTATTGTATTGTATTATTGGTATTATTTATTCAGAGAATATAAAGTAGTAAGAGACTTGTAAATGCGTTAATTTCTAATTTATGACCTCGCTTTTTACCGGCATTTCTTTTGTTTCAGCTGTACAATTGTATTTATAAGTTTAATGTTTCCTCTAAAGCATGCCGAAACGAAAATGCACTTTCAATGAAGCTTTAGGAAAAAGGTTTCCCTTGTTCAAACGCGGCAAATCTGACTCTTGAAGTGTATTGTTGTATTTGTGAATCCAGTATATCTATAGCCAGTAGAGGTGCGATAGGTATTGAGGAACATCAAAAAACAGCCATGCATAAGAAGAGATTACAATAACAGGTAGGGACTTCTAAAGCCTTAGACATTTTTATAAAGAAATTGTCAATTAATGAGAAGACTGTCGCTGCTGAAGGGGCTGCAGCTTACCACACGATTCGTCACCATATGTCTTTTAACTCTTTAGACTGTACGTTGCAGTTAAATAAAGTTATGTTTAGCGATTCACAAATCGCAAAAGACATGACGTGTAGCAGAACAAAAGTAACTGCAATAGTGACTGGCGTTTTAAGCCCTCATTCTTCAATGAAGATTATAGATGACTTGAAAAGTATATCGAGTGTTAGTGTCTCTTGTGATGCTAGCAATCATGGAGCAACTAAATTAATTCCTGTATTGGTTCAGTATTTCGATTATCGTGGTGAAGGCATAAAGTCCAAGATATTAGACATTGAAACAGTTTCCGATCAAACTGCTGCAACTTTGGTGAGTTTAGTAAGTGATCAGCTTCAAAAATATAAAATAACAGAAAAATGTATTGCATTCTCAGGAGATAATTGTATTAAGAACTTTGGTGGTCGAGAAAGAGCTGGAACAAACAATATGTTTTTTAAACTGAAGCAAAAATTAGGCAAAGTCATTATAGGTATTGGTTGTCCTGCTCATGTACTCAATAATGGTGTTCACCATGGATGTGACATTCTGCCCATAGAAGTGGAATTAATTATAGTGAAAATTTATAATCATTTTTCTACTTACACTGTTCGAACAGAAAAACTGCGACAGTTTTGCAATGATATTGGCATGGAGTATACTCAACTTCAGTCTCACTCCAAGACACGCTGGTTAAGTCTTTTTCCGGCAATCGAAAAACTTTTGAAATACCATGAGCCATTAAAAGAATATTTTTTTACTTTAGATAAACCCCCACAGTACATTATGCAGTTTTTTAACAATGAGTATGCCGAGGGTTAACTGTACCTTGTTCATTCAGTAATGGCGATAATTCACACAAATATTGAAAAAGTGGAAAGAAAAGAAAACAGTGCTGTCGAAATCAGGAAGATTTTGGGCAACATTATTTCATTTGTAGAGGAAAGAATTAGAAATATTTTTTGTCCTCTAAGAGTAAGGACAATTTTAAAAAAGTTGCATGACGAAGGAAAGAATACGGAAGAATTTTCAACTAAAATTAAAGACTTTTATAATGAAATCAATGACTATTTGAAAATGTGGATTGAACCATTTGAGGATCTAAATCTGAGGTCTGATCTGCTAAATTGGAACAACATTGAAAAATCTTTTTAAATATTCTGAAAGAATTTTTTTAAAAGATCATAACATTGAAATCGACGAAGCAAAATTATTTGACGAGTGGGTTAATTTGAAAAATTTTAGCACAAATTTGAATCTTACTCAAAAAGACGACAACTTAAACGCCTTATGGCTAACATATTTCAAGCAATGCAATATTGTTTACATGTGGCCAGATTATTTTATTTGTAATAAGAAGACAGAGAACAAGAATGAAATATTGTTTGTAAACAAGATGTATTTGAGTCTATTTTTGATAAATAAATAAATATTAAAATATTAAAAATATTAATGCATTTCTGAGGAACAGTATGCAGAACAACGGAAAGTGGTTGAATATGTATTTAGTATACCGGGTCATAACGCTAATGTCGAGAGAGTCTTTTCCCTCATAAATTCACAGTGGTCAAAAGAAAAAATATCGATTACTGCCAACAACAGTAGCTGCAATAATCAAAACTATATATAACATAGACATGAAGTATGACCAATTTTATAATTATTTGCTTACTCAAATACAGATACTGAAGGAAATTAATGGGGTTGAAAAGTATAGTAAAAATTAATAAGTTTATAATATTAGAATGTATTAGATACTATAACTAGCCTAAGTTCAAAAAAATCGTTACAAACTTAAGTGTTTGTTTTATATTATAATAACTAGTTTTCAACTAATTTCATTCAAATACTTTTAAAAATGTGATTATTTTAATTACTTGAACTTCATTTCACCTGTTATCACTAGATATTTATTTAACTATTGCAACTCTATTAATGCGTCCTGTTTTTAAACCGAATTGTCCTGGTTTTACCAACTTCAAATCCTCGTTTTTTTAATTTGAGGTTGGCAACCCTAAACTACCCGGTAAGTAAACCCTGGGCGTGCCGCTAGGTATCCTACAACATTCTCTCAGTGTTACATATAGCCTCTAAATTGTAATGGTGTAGCATAAATCGAGCTGGAAGAAAGTTGAATTCTAAAAGCTCCTTTCTAAACCTTAAAATAACTGGCCATTTAAATTTAAATTTTGGTCATAATTTCTTATTTTTGGGGTTAACTATGATTAATTTGCGAGTCCTTCATTTTAATAGGATAGTAAAAGTCTTGTTTTTTGTTAAAATTTCACATTATAATAGGGTTTTAATTTTGATGGTCAATTACTATTTTTGGCTGCATAAAGTGTTTTTTGACATAATACATTTTACTATATTATGTGGTGGTAAGTTCAACATCAGCCTTCAAATACCTCTATTTCCAAAAGTCGCCCACTATTCTAAAGTATAACAAATAGCGACATCTGTACTTTAATTCCAAAGAAAAATAAAACTGCATCAAAAGAACATAGGTACTGCCATCTATCCTATTATAAGCACCGAAGTATTTGAGGACAGATGGCGCCACTACGAAAGTTTGGTTTTAGTGTGCAAATGGATTGACCGGTGAAACGCAGTATTTTGTGAGTGGAATTCCAATTACGGTCTACTAAGTCAAGCCCGCAAAAACTCAAGTAATCGTGGTTAGCAGTTCCAGGTGGATTTCTCGCCTAAATTGTTCACAACTGCAGATCATAACTTTGTGTAAAGCAGTATCAAGTACCTGATTTAGTAACTCTTAATGTCTACAATAGGTAACGGACAAACGGATCTTAGTGGTTTCTTTTCATTTCTGTAATTTTCTACGCCAAAAAAATTTAACGAGCAAAAATATTTCAAGTAAAAAATTGCCGCTTCAATTCGTACAGGCGCTTTATTATTTCATGGATTCGGTGCTATTATTTCTGTTTTGTTCAAATAATTCTTGGAAAGGTGAAGCAAGAAAAAATGCTAACAAATATTTCATTCGACCATTTATTGTAAATTCGTGTCCGATCCGTAATATTCATTTAAATTCGGGCCAGTAGTATCGGAGATTAACCCGAACATACAAACTCACAAACTTTACCTCTATAGGTAAACTTTACCTTTATAGGTATATTGAATTAAGACACTTGTACTAGGCATTTTCGATTCTAATATAATCTGATTTGTATTATTATTACTTTTTCAATATAAATCTTAGGTATCCTCCCAAATTTTAGGGTAAAATTTAGAAACTGCTTTTGTATATAATTTAAACTAATAGTGCCCAGTACGTCACCCAATTTAATAAATGATTAATACATATCTGAATTTTTGTCAGTAGCTTCATTTTAAAGAATCTACCAAACTTTCTTATTACGGCAAAAGCGCTGCTTTTTAGCAGTAGCATGCGTAAAGAGTGTTGAATTCGTGATTAGGTCTTATTTAACAAATAAGTATTCCATTTTAACCAGAAATTCCAACCAGAACATTCTTGGAAACAAAATAAAAAAGTATGGACGTATAAAAAAAGGCGGACAAACCGTGGCGCTTAGAGTCGGCCAGCTCGCAGTACGTACAGGCCAGTAAGCACTTACGCTCGTAACTTCAATATGTATAGCAAGTTCCACCAAGTGTCATCAGTAACTGACATCGCACGGAGAATCAATAGATACCCTGAAACGAAGTGGGTCGGTTGTCTCTAGGCGGACTGACGGTCGCTGGAGCCGACATATGCTAGAGTGGAGACCACGATTATGCAAACGTAGTATACAGCGCGATGGACCGACGACTTTAGGAAAATGGCTGGCAGCGAATGGATGCGGACTGCCCAAGGCCGGGATGGTTGGCTCTGTTTGGGCGAGGCATTCGTCCAGCAGAGCACGAAAATAGGCTGAAGGGAGTAGTTTTTTATGACCCTAGGACTTATCAGTCTATCTATCCCTTATGTACGCCTATTAGGACAGTAAATAATCAAAAAAGAGGGTTATGCTGAACGTAAATGTTTAACGTAACGTATTTACCTACACGCAAAATACTGTTTTTATTTTATTTTTTACACATAATACACGACCGTCTGACTCCCAACTAGGCAGAGCCTGTGCTATGGTAACCAGAGTGCCGATAAACATCGTCGAAGGCTGCGCTTCGCCTTACAGTACTTCATGATTAGCATCCATCGCACGCGTTTATCAGAGCCCTCTAGCGAGGAAAATAACAATACTTAATACAAACGTGCTTTTCAGCGCGACAACGTAATCCGTACTTATAATATACGTTACGATAAATAAAATAAAAAAATTGAAATTGTATGATAGTATTTTAATACTAAAGTGAATTCTTTTTTAAGACAAAACGTGCTTTACAGAGCGACATTTTTTTTTAAATTGTATGTTCGTACTTTAGTCGGTATTAAGGTAAATTTTTAAACTGTACTTATGGTAAGTACATAAGGTAAGATAGAATTAGATTAAAACCATAATTTATCAATTGTATTTCTTCTATTAATATCTTGGTCTCAATTTATAGTTAAGGCAATTTAGTATTAGGGCAATTTTTTTAAGTATTTTTAATTATCGAAAATCGTAGTTCAAGTTAAGGTATTTAATTTCAAAAAACGAACTGAATAGAATAGGTATCTTTTGTTGTTGATGATTGTTGATTATCTTATGTTTTTAGTCGAACGAATAGTAAGTAAAAATTTTCATACGTATAGTTTTAAGGTGTAAGTACAAACAAAAACAGTAAATTTTGTACAGAAATTATAGTCATGTCTGGAAGACGTCGTCGTTCGAACATATGTAGGTCGTAGTACAGTAATTGCCAGAAGAACACGTTCAGCAAGAGATGAAGAATCGTCAACGAAACGTGAGGCTCGCCTTAGCCAGTTTCGGGATAAATATAGAGCTGAGAGAAAGAGAATCCTCATTAGAGCGTCAGGCTCACCGCAGCCAGGATCGGGATAGACATAAAGTTCAGACAGCCAGAAAATCGCCTGTAGAGCTTGAGCAGGATAGGGATAGACATCGAATACAGAGAGCCAGAGAATCGTCCGCACAGACACATAGTAACAGCCACAGATCCGAGAGAGTAACAAATTCATGGGTAAATGAAGAAAACTCTGCTATGAATTACGATCCTTCGATTCCTTACAAGGACGATCGTATAGTATCAATAGGTACCATGTCAGTAGTGTGTGAACATTGCTTGGCATCGAAGTTCAAGGACGAAAGGCTTGTGTACATACAAGTTAAAATTAGAAGAAATTCTTCCTTCACCTGAACCACTTCACTCTCTTCCTTTGGTTTTCCTTCGAACCAAGACCACTACACTCAACCTCGTAGCTTTTTTTTTTTTTTGGGACTAATCCCACCCACGCGCCCACCACTGTAACTCCTGTACACCAGGATCCACAGCAGTGACCCACGAACACACCGAGTTATGACACTCGGGAAGTCCCAGGAAGAAATTAAACTGTCTTGGAACCCGCAACGAAATTAATCAGAAGAAAATTGGAGGAGTTGGAAATACAGTAAATCCACTTCCCTCCTTAGCAAAGCGGGAGACAAAATGAAGTAAAATAGGCATACACCCTTTTAAACAGGGAAGCACCACGGCCACAAAATATTACGGGTCCTACATGAGCTATATTTGATTTCTATAATATGTATGGCAGAATCGCCTAAACGCACGGAAATTCACCCTAGTTGACACAAGATCCCCATATGTTGTCACCTGCAAGCTATTCAGCATTATATTACGTTCATTATACCAAAGACTACATTCCCAGAGGATATGATGAGCAGACTGTTCATAATGAGAGT